GACAAACAGGACAAGTGGCTTGCCCAAGGTTACTTGATTAGTCCCTAGAGATGGGATTTGGTGTCAGGCCTTCCTGTCTTCAGGCCCAGTGCTCTACCCACTGTGTCACTTTGCAGCCTAACACCAGATATGTAGTAGAATTAATCTGTCAGTTTTTCTCTTTCAAAAAGTAGGTACAAAAGAATAATCAAGTAGTGGACTAACTTTATTATGAAGGTAGATTGTATGTTGATTCATATTTATTTTCCACATCTCAGATATTTGAAATATAATATCCTATTCACAGTTTTTTAAAAGAAAAATTATAATTTCAGCCAAAGTATTACTCTGCTTTGGAAGGTGATGGTTTCCCCTCAGTAGAAATCTTCCACTGAAGGCTGATGATCACTTCTTTGCCATGTTGGAGAGCAGAATTGGATTTAGGGGGCTCCTGTGATCCCCTTTTCAGTCCTGAGCTCTTTGAGATTCTGTGGTCAGGTTTAAAATAATCCATAAAATGCATAACATACCTATAGAATATTTAAAATCTAGATAGGCTATTCCTTTATGATAATTTGATAGTTGGGGAACTGCAACTATGTGCACACGAGAGCTATTTGCTTACCCAAACCAGTGCTAAGATTCGAAGCTTTCTCAGAACTTGTGAAGAGGGAGGGAAAATTGCTAATTCTGTTTTAAGTTTCATTTGACCCCTAGAAAAAGCATGTTTCCTTCAGAGAGCATTTCCAGGTAATGCCATAAAGAGAGGAGTGGAAACCACATTTTTGTACATAATTAAAATAAGTACTTAAGTTCCTTTGGTGGATATGAAGGCCACAAATTAACCCCTAATTCATCTTGTAGCAGCTTATTTGTAGAAAACAGAACATGGAATTTTTTTCTCTAGTGGATAATTTGTAAATAGATGAAAAAAATATCAAATAGTAGTAATACAGGTTTATTGGGAGAGGACTTTCTTTGGTCATGTTTTGGGTTGATAATTTGCTGAACATTTGGTATTAACATGTCATCTAGAGAAAACACTACAAATGTAAATAACTTATCCCTTGATTTATGTTAATACTGAAAACAACACAGACATGAATCCCTAATATGGGGAAACTGTTTTAAGTGTAGTGTGGTCAGAGTGTACATTTTTTCAGCCCAGTGCTGAAAGCCTCCTAATAATTAATATTGTTAAAAAGTGTTTACTATATGAGATTGCACACCCTCTTGGGGAGGGAGGTGGAGGAAAATTTAATTTAAAATTATGGAACTTTATGGAATTTATAGAAGTGATTGTTGATAATTCGAAATAAATTAGTTTAAAAAAGTATTTAATCTTATGGTTAGTAACTAGGTACTTTACTACAAACTCATCCTCCCTGGACTGTTATGTAATTGTATAGTTAGTGATTGACTATCCTTTTTATGAAGAGATCTCCTTCAAGTTATATTTCTTTACTTTTTTACTCTGGTTTGGAAATCAGTGAATTGACTTAGTTTAAAAATCTTTGAGGGGCAACTAGGTGGCTCAGTAGAGAACCGGCCCTAAAGTCAGGAGGACCTGAGTTGAAATCCTGCCTCAGATACTTGACACTTACTAGCTGTGTGACCTTGCAAGTCACTTAACCTCATTGCTTAGCTGCCAGAAAAAAATCTTTACATTCTGGAATTGACAGTCAAAATGTGAAAGTAACTAATATTTCTTAAAGGGATAGCTTTTTTTTTTTAAATTAGGAATATCATTCTGAGAAAATACTAGCTACTTAAATAGAGGCTTTTTTGGACCAGATCTGTGATTTCGTTGAATTCTGCTCTGAATTCCTAGTGAAAAAACTTACTGTACATATATAAATCTAGTTGAATTATACTGCATTTGCTCAGAAATTTGTCATTACTTGAACAAGGGATATGTTCTCTGTAGGAATCTTGAAGCAGGTGCAAATGAAATAAATCCCTGTGAGATTTTAGATAGAAAACGTTCCTAGTCTAGGGAAACCACTTGTGAAACAGGTGTCATTGACTAACATGGAAATGTTTTGCACGACTGCATATATAGAACCTGTATCAAATTGCTGACCTTTAGTGAGTTGGGGAGGGGAAGGACAGAAGGAGAGAATTTGGAACTTAGATTTTTAAAAATGAATGTTAAAAATTGTTTTTATTTATAAGTGGGAAAAAATAGAACATTAAAAAATTGTCTTTACATGAAATTGGAGAAAATGAAATACTGTTTAAAAAGAGAAATAGGTGTCATTGGGGCTGAACTGTGAAGAATGGGTAGCATTTGGGTAGTAATACGGTTAGTAATAGAGGGAGTATTCCATGAAACTGATGAGAGCAATAAAAAAAATTCTTAAGCAATGTTGAAGTCCCAGAAAGAATCAGAAAATAGGAGGGGAAAAGCAAATTGTGAGCTAGCACTTCACTGGGCCAGGTTCTAGCTTGTGGACCTGAGGGAGGTAAAGGATGGCTGGTCATGGCCTGGGTAGGGCCTGAAGGGAGTCTGGTGGGTGGTAAGCTGGTTCAGTAGTAAGGATGGGACCCAGTGGTAATTAGATGTTGCAGTGAGATTTGGTAAGTGGTGGGGTGGGTTGGGGGCAGGACAGAGGTTAGAGTGGATGGGAGAGGTATGAGGTTAAGGAGGTGTGTCCTGAAGAACTCAGAGGCATCAGTTAACCATGGTGGCTTTTGCTGATAAAGGGATCTCAATGAGTCATCCTAAATATTGGCCACCTTAGTGTCTCATAATAGATCTACTTTGAGTGCCAGTGAATGAAGAAAGGAGGCAACCATGCCTGGCTTAAAGGGTATTTGTTAAGTAGAATCTTCCACAAGAGGGAGACACTTGGGGTTCTTAGAGAATCAAGCGAGCCTCCCTTCAGGTGAGCCCTGCCTTCCCAGGGACCTCCAGGCTCTGTCCATACCCATCCCCCACACCCCTGTATTGAGTCCCTATTCTTTGTAGTGCACTACATTTGAGGGGGGTATACAAGGATTAAGATCCCATTCCTCTAGGGTCTCAGTCTGCTTAAAGAAATGAATATCTAATTCCAGAATCTCAGGCATCATTGAGTTGCCTGGGGGAGGACATTGGCAAGGGGTTGGTAATTGGTTGTTACCTCTAAATTATATCACATAGATAGTCCCACTCGAAAAATGGAATTTGAACTGCAGTGTAATTTGTTTACTAAAATCATGTGTGTATTTAAAGATATGGAGATTAATAAATGGCTTGCCACCTGAAAATGAACTTTGGCCTATCCTGTTCCCTTTCACCAATTAAAACCACTGATGAAAGCAAATGTGACACATTATTGGTTCTCCATTGATTCTCTGAGTATCTCTTTGTCTTTCTATCTCATGTAGTCAGAGCATAGTTTATTTTTTAGTAAATGTTTTTTTTCATAGTCATTCATTATTTTGTGTTTCCAAGCATATTGGAATTAACTGATTTTTAGAAAGCGTTCTTTTGTGACCTCAAGATCATTAAAAACTAGGATTTAGAGCTGATAGGGACCTCAAAGATTATGTAGTCCAAATTCCTCATTTTACAGGTGAGAGACATGAGTTCAAAAACAAGTTTTTCTTGATCACACAAACTAGTAAATAGTGGTACCAGAATTTTTGAATCAAGATTATCTGACTGAAAATTCATCTTTCCAGTAAAGATGCTCTTGGTTCAGGTGCCTTACTCCTATCCATTGCTTTAAAACTTATTTATTCTAGTCTCCTCTTAAAGCTCTCTTTTTTTTAAAGGTAATTGGGGTTAAATGACTTGCCCAGGGTCACACAGCTAGTAAGTGTCAAGTGTTTGGTCTGAGGCCTCATTTGAACTCAGGTACTCCTGACTTCAGGGCCTGTGCTCTGTCCTCTGCGCCACCTAGCTGCCCAGTTCAGTTTTGCAATGTTGAGGGGTTTTTTTGTTTTTTTTTTTGTTGTTGTTTTTACTTTTTTGGTGAGGCAATTGGGGTTTAGTAACTTGCCCAGGGTTACACAGCTAGTAAATGTCATATGTCTGAGGTCAGGCTTGAACTGAGGTCCTCTAGACTCCAAGGCCAGTGTTCTATCCGCTGCGCCATCTAGCTGCCCCCTTAAAGCTCTTCTTATTAGTAATATTGTTATCCTCATATACAAATAGCAAACATCTGGAAAAACTCGCACAGTTGTTGGATTTATGGGAAGATTTGGTCTGCATCATGTGTTAACTGAGAATTATTACTGTTAAAATGACCAATTTCTGGTCTTAATTTCTGCTAAAAGTACACACAAAAAAAGATAAAGATGTGCTTGAAAATGTTTTTTTAGGAAAGGGAAGAAACAACTAAGCAGGTTTTTAGTGACTGTTTTATTAAGACTTCCTAAAGGAAATCTGGCTTAAAGATCTGGAAAGGCGTAATTTAGAGGCACCATCAGCTCAATAAATGCTCTTGTACTTTTGGCAACCGTATTCAGTCCCTGTTCTTTTACTTCAGATTCTGACTTCCTCAAATTGCCACCCTTTTGGCAAAACAGACATTTCTCTTTCAGAGAAAGGTCAAAGATAAATGAAATAGAACTTAAAATAAAATACACTTCACATAGAGGGCATTCCAATTTAGTCTTTAATGGGCTAGTATGGGAAAGTTTGCAATCTTTGAAAAATGAGGACTTCCCGTAAAGGACAGCAATATAATCAACCTTTTAAAGCTATGAAAACGGAGGTAAAAGAACAGGGCAACAAGCACTTTCTGCGTGCCAGGCACTGTGTTAAACACTGGGCACCAGCAAAAAGAAAGGTTTTAAATTGTCTCAATCGTAATTTTTTTTTTCAACCAAAATTTCTTGACAAGCATCCAAAAGAAATAAAAATGATTTTTAGGATCTTTTTATAGTTTAAAATAGAGTATCATTGGTAGAAAAATGTCATTTGTATTTTTGAATGCTACTTTGTTGTGATTTTATCACAATTTTCACTTTATTAATTTTTTTAGTTACTGAATTTTTAAAATTATTTATCTCTTGTCTCTCTTTTTCAGATGATTCTTGGAGAAGCCCTGTCCGTTTACTGTAATCTCTTGCATTCAAATTCCTTTGTCAGGAACAACTACATAGCCACTATTTACAAAGCCGTTGGGACATTTCTGTTTGGGGCAGCTGCTAGCCAGTCCCTGACAGACATTGCCAAGTACTCCATAGGTAGACTTCGGCCCCACTTTTTAGCTGTCTGTGACCCTGATTGGACAAAATTCAACTGTAGTGATGGCTACATTGAAAACTTCCCATGTCGGGGAAATTCAGTAATAGTTAATCAGGGAAGGTGAGTATGAAATATGTTGTCCTGTGGTGAAACTTTTGCATATTTAATGTTCTAAGTTTTATCTTTTGTGTTAATAGTCCAAAAAAGGACAATCTTGAGATGATGGGATGTTTTTTATTACTTAGCCAAATTAGCGTGGCTACCAGGAGGTTTTTTCCAGTTTCTTCATTTTCCTTTGCCTCTGTCAAGAACATTGAGGTGCAAATTTTTCTGTCTCCAGCTGTTTTTCATATCTTATAACAAAGCATGAAAAGTTGCATAGCATCTTAAATTTTTTTTCAGATCTGAATTCTCTCCCTTCCCCCGCCCCCATGTCAAGCAAAATAAATTCTCACTGGCCTCCGCCCCCCCAAAAAAAAGAGGAAAAGAAAGAGTTTTAATCTGTTTTCTTGAATCTATTACCTTTCTATCTGGAGATATATAGCATGTTTCATCATGAGTCCTCTGGATTTGCAGTTAGTCATTTTATTGATCAGAGTTAAGTCTTTCAGAGTCTTTATGACCTGGTCCTGCTCACTTCATTAGTACATAAAAGCCTTTCCAAGTTTCTCTGAAGCCATCCCATTTGTCATTTCATACAGCATAATGGTGTTCCTTAGCATTCATAGATCATAACTTATTCAGCTGTTTTGGTACTCCCTTGGTTTCCTGTTCTTTTGCTATCACAGAAAGAGCATCTTCATAATTTCTTAATGTTCCAAGAGAACTGAGAGGTCATTTAATTCCATCCCTCCCTTCCCTGTTTAGGAACTCCTCCTACAGGATCTCTGATGGATAGTCTCCTTTTCACTTTCACACTTCAGACTTTTTAGAACAATATTAAACAAGAAGTTGATGCCTTCTGCAGGACAGCCCTTTAAGTAATTCTAGAGAGCTATCTTATCTCCTTCCCCCATTCCCCTTTCTATTATCCAGACTAGATAATCCTGAGTCCCTGAGACATATTCCTCATGTGACATGTTTTCTTATTGTCCTTGGATTTTCTTCTTAAAATGTGAAACCCATAGATCCACCCGTTAGATTATTCTTATTTGGAGCAATAAGAAGACTTGGCATTATTTTAAGTCAGACACTATTTCACAAAAAGACTGAATGGTTGAACAGCATAAGGTTAACACTGGCAAGGTGGTGACTTTGTGTTGTTGATCATCAAAATGTCAATTGTTTTCTCAAATTTGGACCAGTTCCAAGGAAAGATAAAAATGGCTATATGGAAAACTAATGGAATAAAATAGTCTCATAACTTGCTTTTCCACTTAGCAGTTTTCATCTGAAAACCTTTTCCCTTTGTTAAGAGTCACATTCTTCAAGTGAAAGTAATTTCTAGGAAATGGATTTCTTTGAAAGTTTGCTTATCTCTTGTGGACAGACCACTGTGATGCTATTAAGTAAATAGTGTCAGCTTACTACATGGGGTTTTACAGGTCTTGAGGAATACATATCATTAGCCTTGTAAATAGATATTTATTGAATGACTAGGTGGAAATAAATAAATAAATAAATAAATAAATAATATAATATAAATATATTGTGTGTGTGTGTGTAATATGTATATGTATAATCCCCCCACCAGTGAGGCAGTCAGGGTTAAGATACTTGCTCAGGGTCACACAGCTAGTGTCAAGTGTTTGAGGTCAAATTTGAACTTGAGTCCTCCTGATTCCAGGACTGGTGCTATATCCACTCTATCCACCTACCTGTTGCTCCCTTCCCCTTTTTTTGTGTGAGGCAACCTGGATTTTCTGAAAAATTTCCTTATAGGCTTGGTGGCATTAATAATATGTTTGATTTCAAAACCTGCCACTTATTTCTGAATGGCATTCTATCTTTTCTTGTCTCTCCTTACTACTAAAATATTCCAAGTAGCTCTTATAATATAAAGCAACTACTAATTAATAAAAGCTATAGAAAATTTGACTTTTGGTGTGAGGAAATGGATCAGATCTTTGGGGACTCTGTTTGTTCCAGTTATTAGGTCTGTGATTTTTCTGATTATTATTTGAACTAAATTTTTTGATCAGTTTAATTTCTTGCACTATACTCTCTGAGGAATATGGGAGGGTGTCTTTAAAAATAAAGATTAGTGGTAGCTTGAATATAGTGAGTTTTTTTAATAATGGGAAAAGGATTTAATTTGTTGTAGCAAGTGCTGCCCCCCCCCTTTTTTTGTGTGTGTTTTGGGTGAGACCAGATCTTCCTGTCTCACCCAAGCTGAAAGTATAGTTGAAGGATAAAATGAACAAAGGCATCATCAGTATTTCTATGTATTACCAAAAAAATCTGGTAGGAAGAGAAAGTTAAATTCCATTTTAAATGACTACAGAAATCATAAAATTTGAGAGTCTCCTGGCACATATGCACAAGCATACATACAAACACCATGAATTACAAAATTACAAAACATTCTTTGCACAAATAAAGATCTGAATAACTTGTAAATATTGATCATGGGCAGGTAGAGTCAACACTAAAAAAATAGGACGAAACCACCTAAATTAATTTACTTATTTAGTGCCAAAGCAATCAAACAACCAAAAGCTTACTTTTTAGAGCTACTAAAAAAAAATTCACGTGAAGAAACAAAAGGTCAAGGATCTCAAAGAAAATACATTTTTTAAAAAGTAGGAAGGTGGCCTAGTAGTAAATATAAAGCTATAATCAGTGAAACAGTGGTACTAAAAGACAGCAAATTCAATCAGTGGAACAAATTAGGAATACGAAATACAGAAGCAAAAGATTCTATTCAGTAAACCCAAAGACACAGCTACTAGAGTAAAGAGTGACAAAAACTGTTTGGAAAATTAGCAGGCAATGGCAACTAGGTTTAAAACAGTACTTCACATCTTATACCAAAATAAGCTCCATTTGGACATAAAAAGGAGAACAAGGAAAAAATGACTTTTCAAAACTATAGGGGAAGAGCTCATGAATATACAAGGGACTAAGAGGATCACAGAATATAAAACATTTTTGATATACACAAAATTAAAAAGCTTTTGGATAAACAAAATCTAGTAAAGAAGAAGAGAAACTGTTGGGAGGAGGGGAGTGAGAGAGAAAGGAAAATCTTTGCAACAAATTGCTATGATAAACATCTCATTTTCTAAGGAACTGGTTCAAATATGTAAGAATCATTCCCCAGTTGAAAATGGTCAAATAAATGAACAGGCAGTTTATAAAAGAAAAGCAAGTTACCATATGAACAAATTTATATTTGTTTCAAGTTTTTTTTCAAAGATTTATTGTACCTATTGATATAATATTCCCCAAAGGCATTGGAGTGCTAAATCCGTCATTGAGTTAGATTAGAATTAGAAAACTGTAGTGTAAGACAAAGTCTAACTTCAGATAAGCATTTATGGCTTCTGGTCGAATGGGTAGAAATTGTTCATAGCTATTGCTATTTGTTAACTAGTCAGCAAGCATTTATTAAACATTTACTATGTTGTGGACATTGTTCTGTGTCCTGGGGACACACAGACAGTAAAATACAGCCCCTACCCTCAAGGAGATCATATTCTGATGTGAAAGACAACATGCAAACAGCTATACAAGAGATACACAGATATACACAGGATAAAATGGCGGTAATCTCAGAGGGAAAGCTCTAGCATTACAAGAGATCAACAAGGGTTCCTTACACAAGGAGAATTTTTAGCAGAGACTTGGGGAAGCCAGGAAGTGGCCCATTCTGATATGGGGGCCAGCCAATAAAAAGGCACAGAGATGAAGTGGGAGTTACCATGTGTGCAGGTGATGGCGAGGTCAAAGGTCTGTCCTTGAGATGGGGTGGAGAGACTGTGTCAGACACTGAACTCATTGAGGAAGCAGGTCAGTCAGTAACAACTACCTGAATTTTGATTGGGTGATAAATATGGATGACTGATCCTCACAATGGAAGGAATGGTGTTAGAAAAAGTTTGGAAGTGGTAGTGGGGAGCAAGGAAAATTCTCGGTCCCCACCAGGACCAGTGAACTGTTGTGTGTGCACAGTGATGGATGGCGTGGCCAGGGATGTCATGTCCTGTCAAAGCAGGGATCAAGGTCTCTGAGAGAAGTGGGAAAGGGAAATGATTAAGATGAAATCAGGTTTCTTACCTATGGGTTAGGCATTCCAGAGAACATTGAGGAAGGGTGGATAGTGGATAGTGACAGTTTGGGAAAGGGGTGTGGGTTGAGAGAGATGAGAACGAGGGGAGTAGGCAGAAGGGAGGCGGTAACTAGGAAAAGGATTTGTGCAATGATAGCTGGGAGTTCAGAATCAGTGGGATGGGGAGAGTATGTCAGGTGGGAGTTTCCTGGTCATTGAAGAATGAGTTCAGGAAGATTATCAGTGACTGGAAAAAAATCCACCGAAGGGTGATTAGACTGTTTGGGGCCTGCCTTTGATGTCAAGCCTTGTGGCTGGTGGTGATGTGGAATCTCATGAGGCCCAGGAACTGGAAAGTTAAGGTGCTTGTGAGAGCATCAGGGTTATATTGAAGTCCTGTAATAGGAGGGCAGGAATTGGGAAGGAAGCCCAGCTGGAGCCTCAGGAGTTGAGATAGGAGACTGAAGCTGGCCTGTTACAGTAGCTGTGGTTTGGGATCTCTCAGTGGAAAGCTGGAGACACCAGGAAGGACGCAGAGAAAGCTCATCGTTGAGGAGTGTGCAGGCAGGTGGGCGGGATGTCCCAGCTGAGAAGGCACAGAGGTCACAGGCAGGGAGGGACTGTCGAGAGGTGTAAAGCACTGTTTCATGGGAAATTGTAGAGTCAAAGACAGGCCTCAGGTGGAGGCTTGGACATTTATTTGGGGGTCATGACTACAAGACTGTTGGGTGTCAAAAATTGAAGTATAACATATTTGTTAGACACCCCTGATGCATCCCAGGTTCATTGCAATTACATGATAAAGTGTATGATTATTGTAGTCTTCTTCTGGTTCCAGGATTATTTTTCCACCAGGATTGTTATTAATGGTGATCCTGTATTTTGGCAAATGGAGGCCCTGTTCTTTTGA